AGTGGTAATGTTGATGATGGTGATGATAATGATGACGATGGTGATGACCATGATGATGATGACGATGATGACAACAATGAGGGTGATTATAGTAATGGCCATGGTAAATGATGATGGTGGTGGAATACATCCAGTCCAGCTCACTCCTGAGCAAGAGTCCCCTCGGAAGCAACCCTAACAAAGGGCTGTCCAGATTCTGCTTAAAGACCTCCAATGGTGGGGATCTTGCTACCTCCCAAAGATCCTACCCTCTTTGGGGACAGCATTCATGGGTGGAGAAGCTTCTCTGCATTCTCTTACCCCTGCTCCTGGCACTGCTGTCTGGGGCCAAGCAGAACAAGGTTCATCTTTCCTCCAGTGTTCTAGGACAGCCTACTTGCTGATACTCAACCACAGCTATCAGTCCCATCCCCTTACTGCTTCCCTACCTCTCCCCAGCCTGCTCGCCTTCTCCAGGAGTTCCTTTAACCAGCTTTCAGATGACATGTAACTAAGCCCTTCCTTCTCCTGGTTGCCTCCTCTGGATGCTCTATGGCTATCACTGTCCTCCCTCACCACCCAATTTGAACACCAGACTCCAGATGTCATCTTGACCAGGGCAGAGGGCAGAGGGACTCTCTCCTCCCTGTTCCTGGAAGCTTACCCTCTCCTAAAGCAGTCCAGCATCCTATTGGCTTGGTTGGTGTTCCCTCACACTCCTGACTTACACTGAGCTTTTGGTCCATGAAAACTCCCAACCCCAAGTCTTTTTCAGATAACCTCCTCTCAGACTAGACCTCCCCATCTTACACTTGCGAAGTTGATTTCTTGACCCTAAAGTATAAGACTTTATATTTATTCATATTAAGTTTCCCTTCTAAGTTCCAGCCCGACAAAATCATGGCTATTTTTGCCCTCAGTTTTGTTCATCTTTAAGTTTGACAACTATGCCACCTGCATTGTGGATCCTGTGTCATTCCATTGGAGCTCTTCCAAGGTCTTCCTCAGCAGTTGCATCCACCACCTCAGATATGAGCTACCGGGGGGGGGGGGTCTGCCTCTCCCCATCACACTAAGGGCAAAGATCATGTCTCCTCCCTCTGTCCTGCCCCCCAGGCCCATCATGGGGCTCTTTTGCTTGACTGCTCAGTTACTAACTGTTGACTTTGTGACTTCCCTGGCCTTCCCGGGAAGGGGCTGGACGAGTATATCTGAGATAGAACTATATTAGGGGGTGGGTGGAGAGTGGGGAGTGGAGAGCCCCCTGGCCTGGGTTCCTGCTTTGGAGAGCTCTCCCCCCACCTCCACTGACCCAGCCCAGAATGCAGGGGTCCTTCCACTGGCTGGGCCCAGGTGGAAGTGTCCTGAGTAGGCCGGGATTGACAAGCCCTGTCCAACGCTTCTGGCTTCCGGCCAGGGAGGAGGAAGTCTCAGAACCAGGTAAAAGCCTTTAATTGGAGGGGAAATGAGTCTCAGCCTTTCCTGAGAGCCCCTGCTGGCTGTAAGGGTGGGATCCTGCCTTCTCCTCTTACTTCTCCTGCCCTTGACTGCTTGGTCCTCCTCCCAGGGCTTCAGGATGCTCAGTGGCCCCAGGGGTATCAGCCTCAGCCTCCAGGGCAGGCCGGTTAAAATGATAGAGTTTGCCTCCTAGATTCCTTTCCCGTGCCCCCTCTGCTCCTGTCCAGCTTCCCCGTGTAATGGCTCCTAACCAATGATCTGCTCAGCTGACAAGACTTAAGGACTTCCCAACGTTAAAAATCAGGGACTTCACACACACACCCACACACCCACACCCCCCCCCACACCCACCCACACACACACACACACACACACACACACACACACAGTGTTTTCATGTGTACATCCCTGGTCAGCACAAAAAGTTGCCCAGAAACAAGAAGGTAGACAGTGACCCTCTGATCCCACCCCACCATGCATCAGAGGACTAAGAATGGGGGACTTTCTTTCTCTTAAGAGTGGCGAGCAAAGGCCTCCATTGGGCACAGAGACACTGACTGGCTGGATGCATGGGGCCCAGAATTCCTCCTCCTTTGGAGACCCTCCACTTGCCCATGGGTTTTGCCTATCACAGGGCTGAGCACATAGTAGGTCCTTAATACACGTTTGTTGATTGAGTCACCCTGGGGGCTCTCAAACGGCCCCTGTCTTTCATACCTCGGCTAGGCAGAACCTGAGCAGCCCCCAAGGAGCCTTTGAACCCCAAAGGATAAAGGGGAACGTCCCTGGGGAGGTGGGGAGGGGCCCCGGCACTTCAGTTCAAGGGAGAACAGGGAGGCCTGGGATTTGACCTTGTTCCTGGCCTGAAGTTCAGAGACACAGTACAGACCCTTGAGAGCTGGAGGGGATGCCGAGCCTGGAGTGAGGAATCATGTCTGGAGAAGCTCGAAGGAGGGGTCAGACGCAGCCGCCAAATAACTTCCCTTAAGTGTAAATCTGACCACGCTACTCCTCTGCTCGGTCACCTGAAATGGCTCCCTATTGCCTGTGGCTAAAACAAATTCCTTTGGCCTTCCAGGCCCTTTCCAACCTATTTATCCACTGCTCTACCTCCTGCACTTTAGGGTCCAGTCAGAGTGGCCATGCCTCTGTTCCTCACATTTGGCCCGCCATCGTCCATTTCTGTGACTTCCTCCTGATGTCTGCCTTGCTTGGAACCCACCCCCCAACCCATAATAGCGGTCTTCCTTCAAGGGCTACTGTCTCTGTGAAGCCTTTCCTGCTCCTGCCCCTCTCCTCTCCCAGTACTAGTGACCCATCTTAGCTAGCTGGCATTCATGCTATAGACACTTGTGGATGTACAAGCTGTCTGTCAGCTCCCTGAGGGCAGGCACTCTGTATCCCCAGTACCTAGTACAGGGAGTGCTTGGCAGTGAGTTAAGTCAGATCAAAAAAACCTTACTAAGCCCTGAGCAGTTGACTAAACTTGTTCTGTGACACTGGGGACAACTGAGGCTGATGGTAGAGAGGGGACATAGAGAGACTGGAGTGCATACCAGGAAGGACTTGATGACAAGGAGGATGGAGCCCGGGCTTGGCGTTCCAAGGTCTGAGCTCAAATCTCAGCTCTTCTGGGATCTGGGATAAGTCACCTTGACCTCTGTGGGCCTCAGTTTCCTCATTATCCCAGGATCTGAGCTGTCTGACCAGCGGACTCAGACCCTTCTAAACTGTGGTGAGCTCCCTATCCCTGGGGAGCCCCCCCACCATACGGCTGCTGGTGAAGGGATTCTTGGACTAGTCAGACCCAAAGATTCTCCTCTAACATTAATGCCTCAGGAGATTACCCATGGGGAAACTGAGACCTTCCCAAGATCCTGTAGAGGATTTGGTGATAGGCTTTCTGATTCCTGAGCCATCCAGGGCTGACTTTGGGGGTTGGGTCACTTTCCCTCCTCCACCATCCCATCCCCCTCCTTGCCTTTCTTCTCGCTCCCTCCCGGGGATGGTACTCCAGCAGGTGCATAGACCCCAGAACGTGGACGTGCAATGGGTCGGG